ACCTACTAGTGATGGCCTCCAACCTAATAGCGATGGCCTCCAACCTAATAGCGATGGCTTCCAACCTAATAGCGATGGCCTCCAACTTAGTAGCGATGGTCTCCCAACCTAGTAGCGATGGCCTCCCAACCTAGTAGCGATGGCCTCCAACCTGCTAGCGATGGCCTCCAACCTAATAGCGATGGTCTCCAACCTACTAGTGATGGCCTCCAACCTAATAGCGATGGCCTCCCAACCTAGTAGCGATGGCCTCCAACCTGCTAGCGATGGCCTCCAACCTGCTTGCGATGGCCTCCAACCTACTAGTGATGGTCTCCAACCTACTAGTGATGGCCTCCAACCCAATAGCGATGGCCTCCAACTTGGTAGCGATGGCCTCCAACCTAATAGCGATGGCCTCCAACTTAGTAGCGATGGTCTCCACGACCAATACTGTTTTAACATGATAATTCCATGCATCTTTAAATGGGCTGCTGGCGTCTTCAAAGCTCTTGGGCATCCCTTTCAAAATTTTCAAATCACCAAAGATGTCGCTCAAGTCCCGTAGCGCCACTCGATTTAAATCGCACCCGAGGCGCCGATGATCATCAGGTCTTCACTGACCAGGAAGACAAAACCAAACCACACGCCCATCAGGGCCACCGCCCAAAACAGCCTGGCTCGGGCCATCGACTTCGCCCATTCTCGACATCGACGTCGTGTAGAAGAAGAATGCACGTGTTTTCATCGTCGACATCGCTGAAAGCAGGTGCCCTTCCTTTTTTTGAGTCTCCAACTTACGGCCTTGGTTCGGTATGTTCACATCTTTAGGATATGCCGTGTTGTGGTCACAGTTCTTGGGCACAAGGACGAGGGCTCTGTGGTCCTCACCAAGTCGAAGAGGATGGGCTCGTAGAGATGAAACGCATCCATCGCTGGTTTGAAAGGAAAGCACAGCCCGCCTTCACACCCTCCCAGACGGGTCCCGTGTCACCCACCGCGTGTCGGGAGACGTGTCAACGCGTCGGACCCGGAACCGCTCCGCCCGCTCCGCCCGCATTCGTTGCCGCGGCGCAGGGCGAACTGGAAGCGGAAGAACAGCATGGTGCCAGCGCCAGCGACGTTGGTGGTCAGCAAATTGGTGCTCAAGGGATACGGCTGTGGCTCCTCGCCTGGTGAGATGTTCTCTTTTCTATGGCAGGTGGGGGGGGAATTCTGGAAAGCTGTTCGCATACGTTGGGAGCGGGCATGTTCTTGGATGCGGTGGCTTTCACGTGCTTTCTGTTAAGAAGTTGGGATCATGAACCCCCTTCTTCACGATCAAAACGACCAAGTCCAACCCAGATCCCCAAGCTATGGTAGGTTGACCATAGTGGGAATGCAATTCTGTTTGTGAGGGCGCCTCATGAAAACATGCCAGTAGTCAGATGGGCAGCGCCCAACTTTGGATCAACCTGGTTCTGCCATATGACCAACCTCTGCTCTTCACACAGGAACGTCTCCAACCCCAAACTCCACAGAATTGTCCATGAAGACTGCTACGCGGCTCCGACCTGGCTCGTGGGGCATGGTGATCATGGCACGGTTCTGACCCTCCATGCCCTCAGCAATGCCCTCCTGCACGGATTTCATCTTGCATGATCACAGTGATTGCTTCCCGACCATGGTTGCTGAGAAAAGGGGTACGCGCAAACTTACATGGAACCTGAGAACGAACAACCGGTGGTTTCGACCATTTTCCGCAACCCGACGTGGTTTCAGGGTGCCATGTTGATCCAGGGGAATAACTCTTCAGATTCCCGAAACTCATGGCATTCTGGAAGTCCACTGTCGTTGACCTCAAAAGAGGTGCTGGTTGTCTTGCTCCAATTTTCGCAAGTGCGCTTTTTCAGCCCCAAGAAAACAACCACACTGGAAACATGGGATAGCCTTGCATCCTAGAATGTACTTCCCAAGCAGCCTGAACCAAAACTGGCAAGAATTCTCCTATTGCCACCATGCCAATCATGCTGCAAAAAGCCTAATGCTTGCCACTGTTGAGACAGTTACTAGGAACAAGTGCATCGCTAGCAGCAACAAGCGCCATACTAGTAGCAACAAGAAGCTATTAGAAACAAGTGCATCGCTAGTAGTAACAAGTGAGACAGTTCTGGTCGGTCAACGTCGTCGATCACCCCGTCGGTGCCCCGTCTACGGCGTTGAAACTCATCAGGCCGTGGGCGACAGCATGCGTGGCGTTGATGTCTGTGGATCTGCATATGGCCCTTCTTGTAGTAACAAGTGCCACGCTAGTAGTAACAGGTGCCTTACTGGTAGTAACAAAACGCTATTAATTTAATAGCTTCTTGTTACTACTAGTAAGGCACTTGTTACTACTAGCGATGCACTTGTTCCTAGTAGTTCAGGCAAGAAGTTCCACCGAAGTTCGTAGGGCATCACTTACTAGGTTGAAGGCCATCGCTTCTAAGTTGGATGCCACGGATATTCGGCTGGAGGCCATCTCTTCCTAAGCAACATCAATGACTTCCCATGCGCCTGGTTCACGCAGGGCTTGAAGACCACGCTGAAGTACCAGCCCACAGCAACGACTGTGACCAGCGCACCTCAAAACAACGTCATCTATGGTCACGCCGTGTGTCTATCATCGGCGCTCGAGACGGGGGAGGGGAGTGGTTTTAGGACATGTTCTCAATCGCAAATACCCAAAACTCAGTCTTTGTTGGGACACTCGAAAGAAACCAAAACCGTCGCCCCACTCACACATTTCGCAACAAAACTCGATCCGACATGAGAAAAAGTCTCGTTCTCGCTCATGCGTGAGGCCTACCACTGCGATGGCCACGAAGAAGCTCTCGCCGTTCATCTCGCACTCACCCTCTGGCGTCAAGGTGTAGCCCGGGAAGCCTCGCTCGATGGCGCTGCGTGCTTTGGCGCTGATCTCGTGCTTTGCGTGCGCGGATGGGTCGGGGGCGGTGTGAACTGTGCACTTGTCGAAGAGTGGACGTCAAAACCTCACCCTGCTCAATGATCTTCAATGCATGCGACGAAGTGTGGAATCTCTCCCGGACACGCCGATGAATTCCGGACCCGGCCACGCTCCGCTCTCCGCTCCAAGCGGCACTTGACACAGCGCTCCAGCGCAGGGCCCGAGGCACCGGGTGGCCCGGCCTTGCAGGTCTGACACGCCTGAGAAGCGGAGGCATGTCCAAGAGTCCGGCAGGCGTGTGGGAGACCGTGCGCTCTGGCGGGGGTGGAACGAGCGGAGAAAAGCGAAGTTGATATCAGCAAGTTTGGTGGATATCAAGGTCAGTGGAATCAACAAGAAGCTACTAGGAACAAGTGCCACGCTAGTAGTAACAGGTGCCTTACTAGTAGTAACAAGATGCTACTAGGGGCTCCTGGCCTTACTGCTAGGAGCAAGAAGCTATTTGGGGCTCCTGGCATCGCTACTAGGAGCAAGGACGCTACGAACGGGGCTTCCTAAGATTCACAGCGGTGTCAGGGCCGGGCTCAAGTCGAAGCTCAAAGTGCACAAGAGCTCGTGGTCAAGGCAGTTCGGCAGTCTTGGGTTGAACGGTTCGCATCATGCGTCTTGCTCGTATGCATCTTATACCTGCGATTCATAAAACGTGCCATCAAACGCGACATTCATCCGAAAATCCAGTTGTGTTTGTGTTGGACGCATCAAACACCGTGCCTCCACTTGACAATGACGACACAGGTGCATCTTCCTTGGTGCATCAAACCACGAGGACGACACAGTCGTCACGCGACTCGGCTGGAGGCCATCGCGACTCGAACGGAACAATAGAGCTACGAACGGGGCGCTCCTGGCCTTACTACGAACGGAACAAAAAGCTACTAGGAACAATAAGGATGTTTCAAATGCCACACACCCTTGTTGGATGAGTCGTGGCTGCATGCCGGACATGGATCCGGATTTTGGCCAAAAGGACGCTGTGGATGTCTCAAGGGCGTTGAGGGACGCACGCGGCGCCGGTGCATCTGAAGCCCCAAGCGTATCATGCACATCAGACCTATGGGCGGTGGCCTCCAACCTAGAAGCAATGGCCTCCACCTAAGGCCTCCAACCTACTAGACCTTCTACCCCTCATTTCTGAAAACCCTTACTAGAAGCAATGTTCGCTACTAGTAACAAAGGGCATCGCTACTAGTAACAAGTGCATCGCTACGAAGGGAGCGATCGGACGCTACGAACGGGGCTCCTCACTTCTGCCACTTCCCACCGCCCTTTCATTCGTGGCCCAGGCGCTCGTCGGGGATGCTGGCGTTCCGCAAGGTCCCAGTGGTCGGGTCTCCGCATTGCAACTTCCCCACGCACCTCGCGAGGAAGTTGTACGGAACCATAAGACCATCATAACGTTCAAAAGCTTGGGACCTTTCTTTCTCTCTTTCCTTCCTTTCCTTTCCTTCCTTTCTACTTCTTTAGACCTCACTTCTTTCTTCTACGGTCAATACCTTTCTCTCACCTGAAGGTGTTTAAACCGCACTTCTTTCATATGTGGAGGAAGACTGGGGAACATTTGTCGTTTGCTGATGCGTCGAAGGGTCCAAAGAAGAGAGGTTTTAAAAAAACAAGGTGAGCCCGCGGACCCAAAAGCAAAAAGAAGCGCACAACCCAGGAAAAATAAACAAACACAAATTAGCAGGCCAAAACGAAGCATCAGCCCCGCTTCGTGGCAACTATGATATTTCAAGCATCGCGGTTCTGGTGCAACACAGCTCCACTCACCTCCCAACGGGCTTCCGCGAAGCATGGAGCAGCACTACCCCCGCCCATGCCCCAAACCCTGCGCCACCCCCAGAACCCTGCGCCAGGTCAGGATAGCAGCCAGAGCCCACGTCACGGCCAGGGGGCCACGGCAGGGCTAGGGCCAGCAGGAGCCATGTCACAGGATAGCAGCCAGCGCCCAGCTCAGGGCCAGGGGCCACGTCCCAACCTCAAACCCTGCGCCAGGTCAGGATAGCAGCCAGAGCCCACGGGCTAGCAGCAGGAGCCATGTCAGGATAGCACCCCGGAGCTAGGGGCAGCACCCCATCCCTGGCAGCTGTTTTCTTTGCTTGATAGTTTTTTATTGGTTCCGAAAGTGACGTTAGGACTGGCCGCACCCCAAACCCTGCGCCACCCCCAAAACCCTCTTCGTTCTACTTGTGCACTGACACGGAGCAGCCTGCAATGATGCTGGTGGTGCAACCATGTGCCCGACGCAACAATCCTGCCGTTTCAGCCACGACTTGGCCGTCTGTCGCGTGCATTGCGCACTTTTTGGACACCCAAGACCATCGTATAAGCCCCGCAGCTCCACTCACCTCCCAACGTGCTTCCGCGAAGCATGGAGCAGCACTACCCCCACCCATGCTTCGTTCTACGCAGCCTGCAATGATGCTTGTGGTGCAACCATGTCCTCGTAACTAGCACATCAGCCGCGCAAGCGTCCACACCCATGCACTCCCCAGCCCCGTCCACACCCAAGCCACGCCGTCTCACTCCCCTCCATCTTCCCTCCCCAGCCCCGTCCACACCCATGTGCGCCTCCCACTCCCTTCCTTCTTCCCTCCCCACCCATGCGCCTCCCGTCTCGCTCCCCTCCATCTTCATGCGCCCCCCCGTCTCGCTCCCTCCATCTTCCCTCCCAGCCCCGACCCCACGCGCCTCCCGTCCCACCCACGCGCCTTCCGTCGCGCTCCCCTCCACCCATGCACCTCCATCTTCCATCCCCAGCCCCGTCGCCTCCCGTCTCGCTCCCGTCCATCTTCCCTCCCCAGCCCCTGGTGTAGTTCTAGGGCTCCGTCCGACTCTGCGCCGCACGGTCTCCGACGGATCCCCAGTTTGGGCCACGTGTGGCGTTGGGCGCGTGGCAGTTCCGTCTTTCGTCGGGTTGGCTTTTGAATGTATCATATACCTGGAACCTGAGTGACCCCTATTTTGGAGGGTCAACTATCCCAAATATGGCCTTTTCCTGTCAAAAAAGGGGTCAAACGGATTCTAGGTGTATATATATAATATATGTCAACTGGTTGTTTTCAATCTGCAGCTAGTCTCCAATAACATTGCAACATGGCTTCTGACAACCGTTCCAGGAAGCCTGGAGCAGTATCGGCCCCCTCCAAGGTTCGTTCCAACCGTACAATTTCCCACGGCACATAACGCTCCTCCCGTGTCGGCCATGCCTTGATTGTCTGGCGCATGTACTGTGCACATTTTGGACACCCAACCCCATCGTATCAGCCCCGCAGCACAGCTCCACTCACCACCCAACACACGTCCGCGAAGCATGGACCAGCACTACCCCCACCCATGCTTCGTTCTACTTGTGCACTGACCCGGAGCGGCCTACCATGATGCTTGTGATGCGACCATGTGCTCAACGCAACATTGCCTGTCGCAGGCATTGTGCACATTTTGGACACCCAAGACCATACCTAAGCCCCGCAACACCGCTCCATTCACCTCCCAACGTCCCTCCGCGAAGCTGGACCAGCACTACCCCCACCCATGCTTCGTTCTACTTGTGCACTGCCCCAGAGCAGCCTGCACTGATGCTTGTGGTGCGACCATGTGCTCAACGCAACCATGTCTGCCGCGTGCATTCTGCACATTTTGGACACCCAAGACCATACCTCAGCCCGTAACACCGCTTCACCTCCCCACGTGCCTCCGCGAAGCATGGAGCAGCACTACCCAGCCCCGTCCACCCACCCGCCTCCCGTCTCGCTCCCCTCCATCTTCCCTCCCCACCCATGCCCCTCCCGTCTCGCCCCCCTCCCTTCCTTCCCCTCCCTCTTCCTTCCCTTCCCTCTTCCCTTCCCAACCCCGTCCACCTCCACCTCCATCTTCCGTCCCCGACAACGTAAGCTTTTCCTCGCTCTCCCCCGGCACTAGCGACTAAACGAGAACCCAAGCATCGGAGATGCTTTTGGGAATAAGAAAGGTCTAAAGAAGAAAGGCCTTGTAATAAAAATATAAGAGAGAAAGGACCCCGGAGCTGAGACACTTGCTCTTTGCCAAATGTCTGCGAGAGGTTATGAAAGGATGTTTCACTCTTGCGATCTGGCAGGCTGAATTTAGAACTTCGCTGAGTAAGTGTTTTGTACAGCATGGAGTCCTGCCTTGAGCCATCTACGGGCTAATGTTTATAATGTCCACTCCAGCTGCGCTTGAGCTTCGCTCTGATTGTAGATCAGGTATTTTACATTAATTCCATAAGGCATCTCCATTAGGTTGGAAGCCATCGCTATTAGTTACAAGGGCATCGCTACTAGTAGCTCCTGGCAGTAACAAGAAGCTACGAACGGAACAAAGGGCATCGCTACGAACGGAGCGGTCGGACGCTTCTCAGGTTGGAGGCCATTGCTATTAGGAAGGTAAGCTTTTATCGGCTCCTGGCCTTACCACTAGGAGCAAGAATGCTACTAGGTTGGAGGCCATCGCTATTAGGTTCGCTTTGCATGGGAAGTTATTGGGCCTCGGGCACCGATAGAAGGTGGCTCACACATAGAGGCACGGAACCCTCCTCAAGTGGTTGGTTGCTTTGTCCTCATCTTAAGGAACGTGGAAAACATGTTAAAGCAGAAGGAGATTTGGCAGCTTCTTGTTACTAGTAGCAGAAGGGGATTTAACCATTGGGAAATCAACCAGGTCTTAAGATCCCTTCAGCAAAAGCAGGTCTTCGATAGTGACTCTCGAGGGAGCTTTCTTCTCTCGTTACAGTGTTTTCAGATGGTTTAGAAATGGCACTGGCACCCGAGGATGTCTTAGACCGGGTCCATACAAAAAAAAGAGGAGTCACTGAAGGGGGCCCAAACGTGCCATCGAATCGGACGCCAGTAGCTCGGTGGAAAGGGCATCGCTAAACAAGGAAAGGATATGTTTTCACCTCTTGAAACCACTGGGGCGACCATTCTCCACTGGGACGGCGGATGGTTTTTCGCTCAGATCGCGGTTTTTCGCTCACCGCGGTCGACCCGAAACGGGCCACCAGGACCTTACATTGATTGGGCGCAAGGACCTCTGTCACCTCTGTCACCTTGGTCAGTCCGCAGAGTTCAGGACTGCACATGACACCAAAAATCTGGCCCACCGGCAGGTCACAACCAAACGCCCCAAACCGTGGCCCCACTGCCGCGGACAGCCGGCTGTACTGCCACGAACCGCTGCCGCTGCCGACCGGCCGCGGAGACGCCGCGCCTGAAGTGGCAAAACTTGGACTCCATCTCCGCGGCGAAGGGGCACTGCTTGGGACAGAGGTCCTCAGCACAAGACGCCAATGTATCCATGTGTGTCATTTATTAGAAACAAGTGCCACGCTAGTAGTAACAAGTGCCTTACTAGTAG